GAGGGGCCCAACAGCCCCCAGGAGCTCCAGGATGAGGAGTCTGGCAGCTGCCTCTGGGTGCAGAAGTCCAAGCTGCTAGTGATCCAAGTGAAGACTATTTCCTGTCATTACAGTCACTGCAACCCTTCTCGACAGCCCATGGATTCCCAGACCAGCCACTGGGCCCGCTGGACTCAAAGCCGCACGTGAGTGAAAGAGGGACCAGGGGAAGAGAGTGGAGTGGTGGGGGAGGAGTGGGGTCCAGACCTCTCCGCAAGCATCAGCGAGGGCTGCTGGGCTCCCCTTGTCTTTCCCAAACCTCTTTCCCCACTCCATCCCGAGAGCTGGGACCTGACTTATTCCAGGTTGTTTTGGGGGGACTGGAGTGGGCGTAAGAAGGGGCAGGAGGTGAGATGGGGCAGACGCTGGCAAAATGTGCATGGAGAGATGGTGAGGAGTCTGGCTTCGACTTCAGCCCTAACATATACGCACGTGCACACCCGCACACACTCACATACACACCTCCACGCGGCGGACCCAAGTGGTCTCCAGTGCTCCCAGCTCCCCGGACCTCGGTTCCCCTCCCCTACAAACTGCTCACCTGGGTTCCTGCTCATTGTCCCAGGTGTGGGCCGCGCCCGGGATCCCCTGAACCGCCGCCCCGCCGGCCCTGGGCCTCCAGGGTGCTGCAGGAGGCGACCAACTGGCGGGCGGGGCCCCCGGCCGAGGCCCGAGCCCGGGAGCAAGAGAAAAGGAAAGCGGCGTCGCAGGAGCGGGAGGCCAAGGAGACAGAGCGAAAGAGGCGCAAGGCTGGTGGGGCCAGACGGAGCCCCCTGGGTCGGCCCCGCCCAGAGCCCCGGAACGCCTCTTCGGGGGCCCAGCCCGCTGGGCTGCAAGCTCCCTCGCGGCCGCAGCGCCTCGGGCCTCTGGGGCGTGCGCCCCGTCCATCCGCGCAGCCTCAGAGCGCACTAGGGGCGGCGTGGGCGGGGCCCTGGGGAGGTCGGCGGCCAGGGCCCCCCAGCTACGAGGCTCATCTGCTGCTGCGAGGCGCTGCCGCGACAGCCCCGCGACGCCGCTGGGACCGGCCGCCACCCTACGTGGCTCCACCTTCTTACGATGGCCCCCACAGGACACTGGGGACTAAACGAGGCCCGGAGCTCACCCAGGCGCCCGCCTCCCCAGCCCCAGCTTCGACCCCGGCCAGGACCGAGGCAGGGCGCGCTAAGAAGAGGCTGGATCCTCGCATCTACCGGGACGTCCTCGGGGCTTGGGGTCTCCGACAGGGGCGAGGTCTCTTGGGGGGCTCTCCAAGCTGCGGAGTGGCTAAAGCTAGGCCAGAGTCCGTCAAGGGGGCCACGGAGAAAGGCCTGGGGCTCGCTGCCGCCGTCCTTAGCAGTGGTAGCGACGGCCATTCCCCAGCCAAAGCTTCAGGGAGCCCGGGCACCGAGACTACTCCTACGGGGCCTACAACTGCGAGTCTTAGTGCCCCGCGTCCTGCCCCCAGGTCTAGGCCCCACCTCAAGGGCACCAGGGAAGGGAAAGAAGGTGTAGAACAGAGCTGGCTCCCCAAACGCTGGATTCCCTCCCCTAAAAAGCAGCCGCCCCGGCATAGCCAGACCCTCCCCAGACCCTGGGCTCCAGGAGGCACTGGATGGAAAGAGTCCTGGGGTCTCAGAGAGGGGGCAGAACCCGAGACCCTAAAAGTGACCCGCCGCGCCCACACCCTGCCCCGCAGTTCCCGCCGCCACACTCGTGGAGAAGGCGTCTTTGTCATTGACGCCACTTGCGTGGTTATCCGGTCCCAGTATGTTCCGACTTCCCGAACACCGCACGTACAGCTTTTGCCGGCTGGGGTGTCCCACGCTGGGAGGGATGCCTCCAGTAAACCGAAGTGCGGCAACGAGGAGGGCGAGGGCCCTGCGGCCTTCCCTTGCGAAAAGCTGAGGTCGAGCGGTTGCCTTCCACAGCAGGTTGGCGCCAGGCGCCTGAGCGAAGCTGAGGGCGGGGAGCCGGGGGCCTCCTCGTTACAGGAGCGCGCCTCTCGCATCCTGGGGCTCCCTGTCAGCGAAGTGAACCTGCGGGACACCCCCACGCAGCCAGGTAGCCCAGAGAGCTCAGCCTTGGGCCCAGGGGCTTCGGGAGGAGTGGGCAGCGGCGAGGGCTCAAAAGAAGTGACAGTGATCCCGCCGCGCGTGGGTCGCAACTGGGTGCGGGCGCCAGGGCCCTATGCTGGGGCCCTGAGGGAAGCTGTGTCCCGCATCCGTCGACACACCGCCCCGGACTCGGACTCTGACGAAGCGGCGGAACTCAGCGTCCCCAGCGGCTCCTCTGATGGAAGCGACACAGAAGCCTCTGGCACTTCCTGGAGGAGTGAACGGATCTCACCCTCCGGGGTTGAAGGGGCTCCACAGGGTTCTGGGAGGGCGGGAACAGAGAAGAGCTAAGCGACAGTATCCAGGAGATTCTGGGTATCAACAGCCACAAAGAGGAGGCCCTGTTTCGGGTGGGGGACACTAAGAAGACCCCACAAGGAAATAGGGAGTGACAGTGAGAGATCCCCTCTGGTAGTTGTGTCCCTCAACCCATCCTTGGGCCCACCCATTCCCTTCTTTCTCACAGTCTTCCTTTTGCTTCTCTTGTCCTTGTACCCCTACCTCCACCCATTCCCATACCTGAAGTAGAGGCTGTCCTCCAAAGAGGGGCCATCTGCCCATTCATTCATTTTGCAGGAAAGGTGAGGGTGAGCAGTAGACTTTAATGCCTGCCACATCCAGAGCACATGGGCCTTCAGCAAGGGCTGATGGACTAGTTGTGGAGCTGAACAGAGAGGCCTAGTCAGGATCAGTTATGACAGCAAGGAGGGTGGCAATCACAGGAGGGCAGGGCCTCTGGGCAGGAGAGGCCTCAAAGCAGTGTGTAACTTGTTGACAGAGGAGCTCTTAGTAGAAGAGGAAGGGCTCTAGAAGCAGCCAGCAAAGCAAAAGATGTGTCATACGTCTTCTAGTTTCAGTCCCAAAGACACTCACTGCCACTGAGTGCTGGGTAAACTTTGGCCAGTCACTTCCCCTCTCCAGGCCCCCACTCAGCCTGGTGTGTAAAATGAGGGAGTTCTAAGGTCCACCCTTTTATCTCTGACATTTTGGAATCTTTTGGGAGGCTTCTATCTCATACTCCCTTCCACAAGCCAAGGAAGAGAGTTGAGAACAGTGTCTGAGGGTCCCTGGGGGCCTCCATGTCATCTGCAGTCACCTTCAATTCTGGAGACTGTCTTGTGTTTGCAGGAGAGCTTAGGAGGTAGGCAAAGGGCTCCTATCGTAGTCTCTCAGCTTTAGCTGAGGGTTCCCCAAGGCAGGGCTGGAGGATGGTCCTGCCACTGTTCCTGCCCTGTGGTGTGTGAGCTGGGGAAGGAAAGCAGCCAGTGAATCAGTTTGGGACCCTTCTAGGCCTTCTCCTTTTCCTCCTCCTCAATGTTCCTTATTGATGCTCTGGAACGTTACCACAACTTTCCAGGTAGTATCGCCCACCTGAAAGAACCCTGAGAGTTCCCCTCATTTCTGCCTCTTCCAGAAATCTGCGAGGCAAGGAAGAGGGAGGGAGGCTGGTCCTAAGAAGCCTGTAGGTGTGGGGTGTGATACTCACCGTAGCCACTACGGGGCGCGCGCAGGTCGCGGATTTCCCCGGTTGCTAGTCCCCAAGTCCCCACCTACCCTGCACTGCCAGTTAATCAGTTTGATACCTAGTTACTGCGCTCCTATCCTGAGCCCTGCCGCCTCCAGCCGAGCCAGGCTGGGAGCAGGCCTTGGAAAGCGCGCCGAGCCCCTCTGTGTATTCATCCACGCCGAGCGGTTTGGGACCCAGACACTGAAGTACTTTTTCTCTCCGATCCTGGACATCTCCTCTGTCTCTGCCATTTACTAGCTAGCCATGTGAACTTGGCCAAATCACTTCACCTCCTTGAGCCTCAGTTTCCTCAGCTGTCAAATGAGGGTTTATAAACACCTACCTCGCAGGGTTGTTGTGAGGATTTAATGAGATAAAGTATGTAAAGCGCCTAGTCCAGTGCCTGGCACACAGTAGGCGCTCAATAAATCTAAGCTTCCCTTTGCTCCAGACTTGGCACCTTCTTCCTTTCACCAACCCTCTCCCCTAATGCCCCTCCACCAGAGCTCCTAGCTCCTTCCTGCGCGGTGGGGAGAAAGACTCCTTTCTTTTGGAAACTCTTGGCCCACCCCTGTCTCCCCAGCTCGGACTCTCCCTTCCTTGTTCCCCCCACCCTCGCCGGCTCTTCCCACTGCCCTGGACCACTCCCCCCGCCCCCCATTCCGGGCAAGGGCTGAGTCAGCCCGGGTAAATTTAGCCTCCTGCTCGGCGGGCGCGGGGGCTTCGCCCAGACTCGGTCTCTGGGTGCTGACCGGGCCCCCGGCCCCGCCCCTACCCCACTCCCACCGGGTCCCGCCAACTCTGGCTCAGCCAGCGTTCAGGTACCCAGCCTCGCTCCCAAACCACTTACGGTTTTAGTCTCCAATTATCTCGACGTCACTCCCCACCCGAACCCGAAGAGGTTCTGGCAGGAGGGGGAGGGAGCAAGGCTGCCTAGAAGGTCACCGACCCGACCTGAACCTGGGGTTGGATGGCCTTGATTCAGCTGGGGGTGGGGGAGGGGGGAGAGTTCCTCTTTCGGGTTCCAAACCAGATAGGAGAGCCTTGGACAGAGCCACCCAGGAAGAAGCCAACCAGAACCTGTCAGGAACCCAGACTGCCAAGTTTCTTGTTATTTCTTGCTGGAGGAGGTAAAGGAAGTGGGAGTCACCTTGGGCAGAGATCAAAGGTTCCCAAGGTCTGTCTACTTTCCACCTACAGACCCAATGCTGATTCCTGAACATTTAGTGAGCATCTACTAGGTTTACTTACTGGGGGTGATTAAGGCTTGTCTTGACAGTGGCCTGGGGCAGTTTATGATCTAAGCAGGGGGTGAAGATGAAAACACAAACAATGACAGTATTGAGTAGTGAGTGTTCAGTGCTGTAAAATGTCAAAAGAGGGAGATTGTATGGTTTCAATGAGGTCAGGGAAGGCTCTATGCAGGAGGTGGCATCTAAGATAGAATTTGGGGAAAGGGCATTTCCAATGGAGGAAACACCAAAAGCAAAAGGATGGATGTGGGGAAACAGGGTACATTTAGGGAATTCCCAAATGGTCTGGTTTGACTGAAGTTTAGGGAACATTCAGGGAAGTTGTTGAAGATAAGGCAGGAGTGACAACTGATTGGGATGGGCCTGGTTCAGCTGAGGCGTTTGTGCCTTTATGCCTCTGGGCCTGAGAAGAGGATGGACTTCAAGGGAGGAGGAAGATTAGGGAAGGCCTGGTTAGAGGTGAGACCATCTGCCTGGATTTTGCTATAACCTAGGGACTCTAAGACTCTGGGGCTGGCCTTTTGGGTAGGGGCTCCACCAAGCTGCCTGAGCTCAGTTGAGGATCAACACACAGGCCAGTGTCTAAGAGCTCATCCTCATTGCTACCATTAGCAGAGAACTGGGGTAGTGTTGTGTTTAGAACATGGAGCCTGGGGTCTGGCAGCCTGGGTTCAAATCTTGACTCTACCTCATACTAGCTGTGTGACCTTGGGCAGATTACTCAACCTCACTGTGCCTTGGTGGCTTCAGTTATAAAATAGGGTTATTAATAGTCTTTTTCTTGTAGGATTGTTGCAAAAATTAGTCAACATGTAAAGCGCTTAGAATAGTTCCTGTCACATAGTAAAGGATATATGTGTTAGCTATAATTATTAGTTCTGTCTAGGATTATTTTTTAGTGTTGGGGGTGTGTGGCAAAAGGATAGGAAAGAAGGGGAGAAAAGAACAGGCAGCAGATGCCGGGTCTAAGGGAGAGGGGAGCTCTGGGGTGGGGATGAATAGCCCTGGGAATGGGTGCACAATAGTTCAAGTGTCATCACAGCATACTCCTCATCCCCACCCTCCAGGACTTCCTCCATCTTTGCCTAAGGATGGAGTCAGCACCAGTTGCCAAAGGTCTGGGGAGAAAAGAAGAGAGAGAAGAAGGGGAGGAGCAACTGCAGGTCTGGGGACCAGGCCTTTGTGAGCCATATCTCAGACTGGCCCTGCAGGGCACTGTGGGTGGGAGGTTGGAAGCTCCCTGCTGTGAAAATGACTTCTAAATCTGGCCATGTCTGTCAGCCAGCCAGCCTTGAAAAGAGGCCACAACCATCCCCCACCTTAGGACAGCCACACAGGTCAGGAGTAAGGCCAGCAGACCTGGGAGTGTTGGTCAGGTTGGGGCAGAAGCCCTCAGGTTAGCCCAGGACCCTACTACCCTCCTAACAGTTAGAAAGGAAGCTCCTTTCTGTGCTCCACATGGGGCCCAGTTACTATGGCTTTAGAGATGCTGAGAGGCCTCTCCTTCTTTCAGAGTCTCAGGAAAGCCCTGGGACTTCTCTATATCAGCCACAAAGGGGTAAAGGAAACCAGGATCCAGGCCATAAATTCTGGGACTTCAGAGAGGTTGTGTTGGGAGTGTGAATGTGTATGTATGTGAGGAGGAGAGGACTAGGAAAGATGGCTGAACATGAGTATGCAGTGGGTGCAAAGTGTGGCTATGGAGAAGAATGTCAGCGTCCACTCTATTACTCACTAAACAGGGATGCCACATCTCAGAGACATGGAAGGGACCTAGGGATGCTTCCTACATTCAGGAAACTCACTTGGGTATGCAACAGGGGAAAGGATATGGAAGAGAAAACCCCGCATCATTATAGCCTAGTCAGTGCAGCAAAATACAGGTTAATGGAGGCATTCCCAAAGGGCCAGGGGAGCATGGAGAAAAAGAAAACTCCCAGACTATGTCTTCTGGGGAGTGGAAATATACCCAGGTCTCTGGGAGACAAGTTGCTGAGGATAAATATGTCAGTGAGAGAAAACTCTGTAGATGCTGTTCCCTTCTCTCCCTGAGCAAGGGATGAGCTCCCTCCCTTGAAGTGCCTGATACTACATAGCCTTTTGTGAGCCCTTTTAGAAAAGAGATACTTCAACCATCCATCCATCTGTACATCTATCTGTACTTTCATTCGTTTATCTATTCATCCATCCATCCATTCATACACACATATCCATCCAACCATCTGTTCCCCTATTTATCCACCCATTCGTGCATTCATCCAACTCTCCATCCAGTATCTGTCCATTAATCCATCACCATCTATGCAGTCATCCATCCAACCAACTATTCATCCATTAACCATCCATCCAAGCATCCATCCGTTTATCCATCCATCTCCTCACCAGTCCATCTGTGTTCATTCATCCATCTATTTATTACTTAATAAGAGCATATGATGTGCCTAACCTAGTGCTTTAAAAGATGTTCCTCCGGGAACTGGAGGCTTAAGAGGGGGATGAGTAATATACACAAATAACAACCAATGGGACAG